GGGGGGTGGGGGGGGTCAAAATTCCCCAGACCTCAACACCCCGACTTTGGCGTTTCCACCGTTCCCCAAACACGACATGTCAGAGTTTCCGTGTTTGCGGGCCTTCGAGGGCCATGCCGATACATGTTCTGGGACGGCGCAGTCGGTTCGTCATTCCCCAAGCGGTGCTTGCACGTATGTGGTCTTAGAAACGTTATCTTGGGGATTGGATGGGCGTGTCGTGGTTTCGCCACGTTGCCGCCCGTGGCGCCCCGTGGGCGCCCCGTGTGGGGGGGCCGTGAGCTTGGGGTGCGAATCGTGTTTCGAGCACGCGTCGCGGGGCCGCCCGTGTTGCCCCGTTGGCGCCCTTCGCGCTTGGCGTGCGTGTGTGTGTGCGTGTGCCGAGGTAACTCCGCGTTGCCTCCCGCGTCGCCGAAAGGGCGCCCCGAGGGCACCCCGTGCGCTTGGGGTTTGTGTCGAGGTGGCATCGCGTTGCTTCTCGCGCCAGCTCGTGAGCGCTCCGTTGCGCCTCGTAGGTTGTGCCGCATATCACAGCTCGCACCACGTAGATGTGACATCATAGCTTACACCACGAATCGTAGCACCTAACCCGCACAACCACATCGCTAACACCACTTGCACTGCGCATATTGCACTACGCAGTTCTCGCCACATACTCGCACCGCGTAGCTTACACACCAACTGTGCAAATACCCATTGTTTGGGGGCCCCGCTCGTCGACGCTGGTTTGTAATGGGAGTTTTGGAGTGGGGGCTGACCTGAGGTCGGCCCCTCCCCACCGCTGTACGCGGGCGACCCGTTTGCCGTTTTGGAGCGAGGCTGAGCCATGGTGATTCATCCTTCATAACCCCAGCCAATCAGCGTTCTTCCATGTTTTGGTGGCTTGTGATGCCACTCACGGCGGGTGCTCTCGCTGCCCACGACGCTAGAGCTGCCGATGGTGGAGGTGGCGCTGGTGGGATCTTCGGGAGCCCCGTCGCCAAGGGCGCGGCCCGCGTGTGCGTCGGCTGCGACAGCGTCAACACGGACACCCGTTTACAATTCCTTGTGTCGCGTGACCCTCCCTCGGTTTCAGTTCCACCTCCCATGCCCCGAACCCCAGCCTGCCCTTTGCCGTCGCACCTGCCCGCCCAGTCCCGCCAGCCAGCCCTCCTCGGCCCTTGCCCTCTTCGGCTGCGTCGGCGGGCCACCACTCGGTTTTCGAGCCAGCCCCGCGAACCCCGCCCTCCTGAAGGAGGGTGGCGGGTTTGTGACCCGAACTTGTTCAGGCCTTTGGGAAGTGACCATGGCGCGGTGACGTGATCGAGGGTTCAGGGTTCTGGAAGTGAGTATTAGTGGTTGCCCGCTGCGCAGGATGCCCCTGTGCGCGTCGGGGGGAAGGCAATGGATAACGTCATAGATCGCGATGTACCGTTGAGAAGTGTTGTTTGTTGCGGCGCCCTTGCCAGGAGGTGACCTTTGGCAAGGCCGCGGGCGGCGATGAAGGCCCGTTGTGCAGCCCATGTGTCACCGCAGTGGAGCGCATGCAGATCTTCCGCAGCGCCGATGCGGCTGCGAAGGCCTTCTCGGAGAGCAGCGCGCTGAAAGCCGAGTGGATGGCGACTCGGGACCTCCCGAGCTCTCAGACGGCACCCAACCAGTCGGTCAGCACGGAGATGGACGCAACGACGACCATCTACGTTGACGCATTGTGCTTGAATGCGGCCGAGCTGGCGTTCTTGAGCAAGCGCCGCGTCAACTCCTTCAACGTGGCTCCGTTCAAGGGCTGGACGGTTAATGGCAGCCCCGAGGATTGCTACGCGGTGATCGACGACATGGATCCAGTTGCCACCGCTGGCTACAGACGCGTGCGGGTGGCCCTGGGCACCAGCACCAACCTTCGGATCGACCACCTCGTCGCGAACGGCACGCAGTTGCCGTCCCAGGGGTTCCTGTCCTTCCAGGCGTGGAACCAAGAGCGGTGCCAGGGCATGGATCAGGGCAACCTCTTGGGGTCGGGCATCAAGGCGACGCAGTTGAAGGGCAAGCAGGACGGGCTGAGGAAGAGGCGGTCCCTCGACGCGTACGACGAGTCCGAGTTCACCAGGAAGGTCACCCAGAGAGTCTCCAATCCAGACGGCGACGATGACGGATCCGGCTTCCTCCCCGACAGCATCAGCCAAGTAGCGGGCACCGTTGTTGGCGCCGCGAAGAGGCATAAGAAAGGTGAGTCTCGGGGATCGGCATCGGTCGTCGATGCATCAGGCGGCAACCCAGTGTCGGCCAAGGTCTTCGGGGCCATCAGCCGCGTGGTCGGGAAGTTCAGGTTCATGGGCGTGGCGTCGTCGGCGGGACCAACTGCTCAGTCGCCGCGTGACAGCCGCACCCCCCAGGACTGCAAGACAGCGGTGTCGGGCGGTCAGGGCCAGGGGCACCGCACCGCAGACGACAGCGCCTCGGCCGCGGCTACCGCGAAGCTGTACTCGGAGTGCCCAGTGGACAACAAGGACAAGTGCTACTACTGGATCCAGCAGAACGACATCCCCGCCATACTCTCGGGCAAGAAGATGGGCAAAGCTCAGATCGAGGGGAACGCGTTGTTGGGTAGGCTCAGCGGTGTCCGCGAGTGCGCGGGTGTAAGGAGTGTCCTGAAGACGCACATGGAGTTGGTGGATGTCGCCTACAAGGTGCGGCACACGGCGGCGGACCAGCTCGACGAGTCGGAGGAGTTGGCATTGCACGCGAAGCTCAAGAAAGCTGACGTGAAGTACCCTTGGGAGCAGATCTCCTACATGGTCCTACGCGGCTTGCGCAAGGATGTCAAGGCCTTCGAGGCGTCCTTCGATAACATATCAGATGAGGCGATTGTGAAGTTCATCGACAAAGCGACGTGCTTCAACATTGGTGGCGATGCCCTCGCCACGGACTTCGACCCCCTGGCACCCTCGCTCAACAACGGGTCGTCCACGGCCGCTCAGAAGTATAGTCTTTTCGCTGATTTCGTCGTGCAAGAGGTCCTGTGCCAGTGGATCTCCAACGACAAGGAGTCGGCCCACGCGGTGGTTCGGCTGGCCCAGGCAATCTTCACCAAGATCAACGCTGAGCTCCGCGACGCGTCTTGCCCCAAGGACCTCGAGGCCGAGTCCCTGGCGGTCCGCCACATCATGAAGGTGATATTGGCGCTGAGCTCCTCGTCAGACGACTTGGCGACGCTGCCCGAGAAGATGTCTTGCATCAACCATGCCGTGTCGACGGCTTCGGGGTCGCTTGAGAGCATCGGCGCGATGATCTGGAGTGCGCTCCAGGGGACGAACTACCACGCGCAAGCAATCGGGCAGATTCAAACGGCCATGCACGCATGGGAGAAGCACGGCGCGTCTGTCAAGGCGCAGTCGGACTGGCTGGAGAGCATGACTGACGAGGACGAGCCTCTTAGCAAGGAGGCGTTCGACGCGGAGAACTTCATGGGCACGATGGCGCACCTCGAGCAGGTATTCAAGGATTTGCTCGTCTGGCACTCGAGTACGTTCAGGCCCAACTCGCTGGACTGCGTGGACAACATGGCCAGGCAGGTGCTCAGCGGTGCATACAATCACGTTACTGGCAATGGCAAGGGCAAAGCCACTGCTGATACATCTCAGGAGCGGCTCAACGCAGTGCTTACCGTCGCGCAGTTGGCCAAGAAACTGTTCCCCATGGACGATGACATCCACGGCATGGAGACCACGCTGCGCAAGAAGGTATCCACCCAGACGGAGGTGGCGAAGGTCACCTCGCTGAAGTATGCCATGAGGGACACCATGGAACGTATTAGTTGCGACGGGGAGGTGCCAGCTCCGATTCGCAGCAAGCTGCTGGAGTCTATTAAAGGTGTTGGCAAAGTTGCTTCAAACGCCGACGCGGAGGCCGAGCTCAACGTTGTGTTCTGGCGCTGGTCTTCGTTGGTGTTCGAGGACAGGTCGACGAATGGCACCGAGTTCGAGAATGACGAAGCCGCGCTGATGCAGGTCGCTTCCGCTCTGGCGCCTGCGAACGCCAAGACGGCGAAGAAGGCAGTGCAGTACCTGGCCGAGGCGCGCCAGCTACATGTGGCGCACACCGCCCTCATTGGCATGGGGGAGGTGGCGGATGTAATTGCCGCGGACACTGCCGCCGCCCCGTGGGTCCAGGACGGCCTGAGCAGGGCCATGGCGCTCGTGGAGATCAGGGCGTCGCTCGCGGAGACGGCGAAGCAGAAGTGGGCTTGCTGGGACACGGCGACTGAGCTGCTCGACCAGCGCGCCGCCTTCATGAAGGACGTGGCCGCCGCGATCGGCGTCGTGGCGAAGGTGCCGCTCGACGCGGCCTACAAGAAGCTGGTCGAGCGCAACGGCGGCGCCGAGGGCGGCAAGAAGTGGACTGACAATTTCAAGGGGAAGACGTGGAAGCAGCTCGTGAAGCACGGCACCGCCACGCTGCTGAGCGACAGCATGGACATCGATGCGATCCTGCAGCTGGCGGCCGACGTCGAGACGGAGACGGGGGATAAAATGGAATGGGAATGGGGGGCGGAGGAAGATGTTAAGGTCAGAGTCAGGGTGGAGGAGGACGAGGAGGATGAGGGTGATGAGGAGTTGGATGAGGATGAGGGGTGTGAGAGGATGGGGGAGGATGGGGACGACGATGATGATAAGGATGAGGATTGGGAGGATGAAGCTGGTGGCGGAGGCGGGTGAGGTGTGGGAAAGAGCTCCCCCCCTCATCACTCTAATGCCCCTCCCCGTCCCCATACCCCCCCCCTCACCCACTTCCTTCTCCCCCCTCGTTCCTCACCCCTGGCCCCCACCCTCGCCCTCCCCGTCGCCCTCCCCCCTCGCCCCATCCTCCTCCCTGGTTTGCCACTCTGTCACCATCGCCCTTACCCTCGTCTGCCTCCCTCCTCCCTTCCCTCCTGCCCCGCCCCCTTCTCCTCCTCAGCCTCGCCTCACCCCCTTGTCTCCTCAGCCTAGCCTCCTCAGGAGTACGAGCACTACGCTGCCAAGTGCGAGGCGGTCAGCCTCCCCGAGATCGACGCCACGACGAAGAAGCACTACGCTGTCGAGGTCGACAAGGGCCGCAGCATCGGCCACATCGCCGCGGCGATCAAAGTGTTGGACACGACTGGCGACGGCGACCAGCTCTACTCTTCCATCCGGAAGATCGACGTCAAGCTCAAGGGGGCGCTGAAGGTGCTCAAGCCGATCGACGTGCTGCCCGCGCTGCTGCACAAGAAGTTCGACCAAGTCCTCGGATGAGGACCCACCGCCGCCTGGCGGACCAGCTCGCGGCGAGGGCCGCGGGCAGACAGCCCCCTCTGAGCGGGGGGGGCCCCTCCTGAAAACACCCCCCCCCTCTCCTACTCCACCCCTCGTCGTTGTCGGCGTTGCCTCCCCGTGGTCAGTGGGCGGGTGGCGGGGCGGATGGGGTCGGGCGAATGAGCACGACGATGAGTAGGAGGAGAGGGCGGATAGGGAGAGTAGGGGGGATAGGGGGCGGGGCTAGCGTGAGGGGTAGGCGGGATGAGCACTGGTATGGGTAGGATGGCCAGTGAGAGGGTCCATGGCATGATGAGCGAGGGGAGCAGGACGGACGGGTAGGAGGATCAGCGGGATGACCACGGGATGGCTTCGTCGTCGTCGTGGTCGTCGCCTTCGTCGTCGTTGTCGTCGTCGTCGTCCTCGTCGTGGCCGTCGTGGTCGTCGTCGTCGCCGTCGTCGTCGTCGTCGTCGTCGTCGTCGTCGTCGTCGTCGTCGTCGTTCCCCCGCGGCTCAGCTTCCATTTCATTCCACATGCTCGTGGCAAATCCTCCGCCGTGCCAGCGAAGCGCTCTGTGTGGCGACCCTTCGGTCGCCGCCCAGAAGACCGTCGCATGTGACAATGCTCGCCCTCTTCTAGGGGTTGGGGGGGTGGGCTCACGCTGGCCTATCGAGGTCCGCGTCAGGACCCAATGCGCATGTTTGGGTAACCTTCGGGGCACTCGTCGGCCGCGCGGCTTCCTCAGGGCCTCCAGGGCCCCCCTCTGTCCGACGCGTCGCCGTTTTGGCCGTCTGGGTTGTCTCCCGAGGCCGTCCCAGGGCCTTCGCGGGCCTCCTTGGGGTCTCTTGGGCCGTCTTGGGCCCCCCATGGCTCGCAGTGGCCTGGCGTTTGTGTCCGCCTGGGCCACATCGCCGCCTGTGGCCTGAGGCCGCGCTGGGAGCCCGAAGGGGCCTCGCAGACTGTCTCGGGCCAGTGGAATCAGTTTGGGCCTCTTGGGGCCCAGGTAGCTCGATGGGTTGAGAACGCTAAAGCACCACAGGCTAATACAACGGGGTCAATCAGGGGCCCGAGCTTTCTCGGGCGCCTCAGTCAGGCCTCTTGGTTGCCCTTAAGTGTGGTATGTTTTCCGAACGTCCAAGCCAGTCTCGGGTCGGGCCGTCCGACGCCAACTTCGGATGCCAAGTGGGGCCCGTTGGGGCCTCGAGAAAATGCTTGTCGGATGCAGCGACAGAGAGCCCCCCCATCATCCTTCGTGCGGCCCCTCCTCTTCCAAGCGCCCTGGGGGGTCACGCGGCCTCGCGGGGGGCCCCGCGCGCCACCTCAGGCACGGGCAACGTTGAGAGTGGCGTCCATGTCGTTATGGTGGCTGCGGGGTTCCCGAATGCATATCGTGTCTTCGAGGATGTGCTCGTTTCTAGATAGTGGGGCCCCGCGGCTCGCGCGGGGCGCTGGGTGTAGTGCCCATGGGCCACGGCGGCGCGAGCGGAAGCGAGCAATAAGTTGAAAACCCCATACCAAAAAAACACCAAGCATCTTGGGCGATGTAAAAAGCAAAAAAACAGCAATTTCTAGATTTTCACATTATAAAGCTCCTAGGGGGACAACCCCATCATAAGGTGGCCAGGACTCCAGGCCTCCTCGATGGGGTCGGAGTAGATGGGGTCGGAGGATCGCGCCGCATCGCCGATGCATCGGCGATGCGGCTCGATGTGGAGCCCGATGTGCCTCACGTCGACGACGTCTCCGATGCATTGCATTCGTCGACGATGCATCGCCGGCGCGTCGCTGATGCATCGCCGATGCATCGCCGACGCATCGCCGATGTATCGGCGATGCGGCGCCGATGCATCTACTCCGACCCCATCTAGGAGGCCCCTACGGACCGAACTACGTCATTAGTGTCCGTGGCTTTCAAGTTTGCGTTCGGTCGGCGCGTCGATGAGCATACTGCCCACGAGCCATCCGCCCTCTTGTGCCTCCTGGGGCCCTCCCCCTCCTCTGCCGCCTCCTCATTACCTCGCTGCTGCACGCTCGTGGTCTCGCGAATCGCTCCCGTGCCAGTGCTAGCGGATATCGGATTGTGGGGCTCGTGGCCTCGCCCTCCTCCTCCCGACCGAAGCTCGAAGTTGGCCGCTGGCCTGTCACAGGTGACTGGAGCGGTTGGGTGCCGTGGGATCTCGCAGGGCAGTCGGCAATCTGTGTGTAGTTACCAGAGGGTATGGCAGGTTCGCGTCGTGCCGACCAGCGGCGCCCCCGCCGCCAGCGTTCAACGTGGAACGCCGCTGGCGACCCAGAACTGGTCGGTGCTGGAAGATCTGACGTTTCGGAAACGGCCGATCGCTCAAGGTTCAAAGATCCCAAACAAGGAGATCACAGACGACAAGGCTGATGGAGTCCATGGGCTGGCAGTGATGGGACTAGTTAGGCGTCTTCGAGTGGTGCGTGGCGTGGTGGCTGTGGACTCTGCTCGTGTCAGGGTGGAGAGGTGTGCTGCTTCTGCACCTGCTACTTGCCAAGGGTGGTGGAGGTCGGGTGGAATCGAGTGTGGTAAGTCTCCACTGAGGCTCTTCTGAGGCTCTGGTGCGGAATCGCCCACGTCAGCTGGTGCTGCTGCTGCCAGGCTTGGCAGTGAGTGCCCTCCTTCTGCTCCTCCTTTTGCTCCTCCTCCTCCTCCTCCTCCTGCTCCTCCTCCTGCTCCTCCTCCTCCTCCTCCACATCATCATCATCATCATCATCATCATCATCATCATCATCATCATCATCATCATCATCATCATCATCATCATCATCATCATCATCATCATCATCATCAGCATCAGCATCAGCATCAGCATCAGCATCATCATCACCATCACCATCACCATCACCATCACCATCACCATCATCAGCATCACCATCATTATTCCCGAGCGGGATTATGATCATCAACACCATCGTCATTAGCACCATCATCATCAGCAGCAGCAGCATCATCAGCATTATCATCAGCATCATCATCCGCATCATTATCATCATCATCATCAGCATCATCAGCATCATCATTATCATCATCATCATCACCATCATCATCATCATCATCATCATCATCATCATCATCATCATCATCATCATCATCATCATCATCATCATCATCATCATCATCATTCTGATCATCAACATCCTACCGTTTTCGCTGCACCGTTCACTCATCCTCCCGTTTTTCCTTTCCCTTTGCCCCTCCGTCCAATCAGAGCGCACCTGCTCCTCGCCCTTTCTCCCCGCCATCGCGTCCGAAGGCCGGGTACTGCGGCGACTTCGACGACGAGGAGGGGGAGATGGAGGACCTCGGCAGCTTCGACTACGCCGAGGATGTCGGCGGACGTCTTCTTCTGCTCGCCGGGCTGGGGGGCATAAGAGCGAGGTCTCCCGGCCCGTTGGAGGAGGGGCCTACCCAGACAGCCGGCCGCCCCAATTTTTTCGATGCGGGGGCTCTGGATCTGGACCACTCCCTGGAGCAGGAGGAGGAGGAGGAGGAGGAGGAGGAGGAGGAGGAGGAGGAGGAGGAGTGCGGGAGGCGGCGAGGCGGGGGCGGGGCCGAAGGCGGTCGGAGCGGAGGAAGCACAGACATCGGCACCGATCGCCGACGAGAGCGACCACAGCGATCCCAAATCCAGAGCGATCACCAGGATCTCAACGACGACAGCGATGTCACAGCGCTATCACTGCGACGGAAACGAGAACGACAGCGATCGCAACGTGCGGCTCGTTTCCATGCCAGACCCCCGACGTACTGATTTTTTCATTACGTCGGCCCCCAGAGGTCCCGACCCTTCCCCCATGGCCGGCTTTGCATCCTGTGTCGTTTTTTGACGCTCCCGAGGCCCGGTGAGGGCCCCCAGAGACCGAAAATTAGGAAAAACCTCCCGTCATGATTTTTTCATTACTCGAGGGGGTCTGGGATGCGCGGTCGCCAGGCCCAGAGAGCCGACGCTCCCAAGAGCGTTGGACCGGCGGCCTCCAGAGGCCGCTGTTTCGGCCTCCGGGGCCCCTCGCCGGGCCTCGGGGCCGCCACGGGACGACGCAGGACGGGAACCTGGCCCCAGGGAGGTGGTCTATAGACCTCCAGGGCCCTCCTCCTCCCCCTCCTCCTCCCCCTCCTCCCCCTCCCCCTCCTCCTCCTCCTCCTCCTCCCCCTCCTCCTCCCCCCTCCTCCTCCCCCCCCCCCCAAACTCAGTGTCGACACGCCCAGACCCCCTCGAGTAATGAACAAAATCATGACGGGAGATTTTTCCTAATTTTCGGTCTCCGGGGGCCCTGACTGGGCCTCGGGAGCGTCAAGAAACGACACAGGATGCAAAGCCGGCCATGGGGGAAGGGTCGGGACCTCTGGGGGCCGACGTAATGAAAAAATCAGTACGTCGGGGGTCTGGGTATAGACCTCCAGGGCCCACGCGTCGGAAAAGCTGGAGCGGCCGGATGCCCGGGGAAGTCCCCGACCTCTTCCCCGGGACCCGTTCTTCATCCCGAGTCGTTTCGCGACGGCCCCTGTGGGGCCCAGCAGGGGCCCCCAGACAGAGTGCCAGGACGACCAGGACAGCGTCCCGTCCTGAGCTGTGCAGGGCGCGGGTCACGAGCGGGTCCGGAAGCGGAGTGGCTGCGGGGTGCTCGGTTCCTCGTGGCTTCTCCGACTGCAGCCTCAAGGCGCCGAAATGTAGAAGGACCAGTTTGGGGGTTCGGACGGGGGCGCGCTGCTCCAGGGGTTATCACGGAGGCCCGACGCTCCCGAAAGACTGGAGCAGCGGGTTGGGGGCCGTCTTCTGAGGGAACGAACAATGGCATAAACATGAAAGCTCGGAGGTCCGCGCGGATTTCTCGGATCCGCGCAGGCCCCCCTGGCGGCGCCTCCGGCGCCGCCGCTGGCGCGCTCTGCGCGCCAGGGAAGGGTGTCTAGCGCCGATCCGAGAAATGCGCGCGGACCTCTGAATTTGTATGTTTATGTCCTTGTTCGTCCCCTTAGTTTTCAGCCTCCAGGGGCCCTCGCTATGCCTTGGGGCTGCCAACAAAAACAACTCCAGACGAACAAAAACAGCCCTATAGGGATCTGGTCCAGACCTCCAGGGCCCACGCATCGAAAAAGTTGGAGCGGCCGGATGTCTGGGTCAGGTCATTCCGTGGTTGTTCTTGTAGTCCTCCTCGTACACCTAATTAGGCTGTCTTGATGTTACACAATGGGCTTCCTTCCTGTTTTGCAAGCGTTCCTTACTGGCAGCGTTCTTTAGCGTTGCAGAACGCTCTCAGAGCACTCCGGAACGCTCTGAGAAGGCCGCGGCGCCTGAGACATCCCCCAGAGTCTCGATCATCGATCTATCCTCACCCGACTTTTGTCCTCACACGATTCTATCTTTGCCCTGGCTCCGTCTTATCCTTCTGCTGGTTCTTCCGAGCATCGCCCAGGACCTATATTTATGTCGGGCGTGTCCCCCTACAGGGGGATGTTCGACGGACAAAAAAAGCAAAACATGCCCCAAAAAGGTAAAACAAATACCCCCAAAATAGTCCCCAGACTATTTGAGGATTATTGTTTGATCATTTTGGGGGTCTTTTTTTATTTCTCGTCGAAAATCCCCCTGTAGGGGGGACAGGCCTGATTTAATTCTAGGCCTCCCAGATGGGGTCGGAGCAGGTAGGGCCGGAGGATCGCTTGATGCGGAGCCCGCTTTCCTCCACGCCGACGTCGCCCACATCGGCAAGGTATCGCCGGCGCATCGCCGGTGCATCGCCGATGTAACGCCGATGCATCGCCGATGTATCGGCGATGCGGCGCGATCCTCCGACCCCATCTACTCCGACCCCATTTGGGAGGCCTCTATCAGCACCCCAGGGCACCTCGAGTCAGGTCGGCCACGCGCCGAGGGAGGCAGGGGGGGAGGGGGGAAGGCTCTTAAAAGCACCCCTGCTCCTTAGAAGGCGCTGGCCTTCTCTGTAGACGTAGGGTAGAGGCCCTCTAAGAAGCAGGGGACTGCGAGGAAGCCTTCCCCCCTCCGCCTACCCCCCTTTATGCGCGCCGCCAATCATGAACAAATCACAACGGCAGATTTTGCGCCATTTTCAGCCTCCAGGGGCCCTTGCTGGGCCCCGGGAGAGTCAAAAAACATTTCGGGAAGAAAAACCGGCCTTTATTAAGGGTGTTTCAGACCTCCAGGGCCCACGCATCGAAAAAATTGAGCAACCAGATATTTGGGTCTGAGGTGGCCATGGTTCCGGATAGCAACAGCAGCAGCAGCAGCAGCAGCAGCAGCAGCAGCAGCAGCAGCGGCCCCCCGGAGAGGGGAGGGGCGCGGGCTGGGGCCGTCTGGGGGTCTGAGGCTTTCCTGTCTTGGTTTGAGCCGCAGTGGCTTTCCCGACGGAGAGTGGCTCAGAAGATCGAGTGTCACGCCCTTCTTGTCGCCCCCATCCCCCTGTCTCCGCGAAATAAGGCCTGAGGTGGCCCAGCACTGGTTCTGGCGAGCAAGAAAGGCAGGCATCTTCGAGGTTCTGACTTCGGGTGTGTTTTTTTTGCGGGTTTCGGAGCTCCTACGTCAGGTCCTGGGGCCGTGAACAAGAAGGATCTGGGGTGAAAAATTGAAACTACGGGAGGGGTCCGGGACAGATTTTGAGAGCGGATTCTCGGAAGACTCGCGTAACGGGGGGGGGGCGATGCATGCGGGTGCAGTGAGGGCTGCAGGAAAAGAAGTCTTGGGTTCCAGAGGGGCCTTTGGGGACCCCAAAGGGGGGCCTTTAGGGCCCGAAGAGGGCGCCTTTCTCCACGCCCATGTATGGCCCCAAAATGCAAGCCGCGCCCAAGATTTGGCTTCCCCCCCTTTTGACACCGACCTTCCGGGGCCCCAACGGGTTCAGACACCCCCCAGCGGCCTCCAGCGCGCGGGCCGAGGAGGCACAGAGGGATAAGCGAGGCTTACCAGAAAGGGCGTCACCTAGCTTCGAGTATCGATCAGGAGTCGTCGTCTCTTCCTTGGCGGAAGGCGGCGGAAGTCACGAATGCGCACCCAATAGCATCGAGAACAGAAAGGACCCCCAACCCTTATAACACGATGAAGACGTGGCCTCACTGAGGTCCCCGTCCTCGCATCAGGGATCATGAATATGGGTGATGTGGTCTGACACGTCTGCAGAACATTTCCCCTCATCCCTGATGTTTTTGGCCCTCCTAACTTAGGTCCCCTCCCAAAGGGTTAGGGGTACTTTTATGGCTGATCACAAGAGATGGCCAAAGTTTTGGCTTCAGGGTGTCCAGAGCCCGCCAAGTGGCGACGGGGCGGGGGGGGGTCAGGAGATTGCAGCGGGGGCCCCCCTTTGCGAGGACTGCGTCGACGAGGGCGCTGACAGAGGCGACTACGAGTACTTCGAGAGCGAGGAAAGCTTGCGCACGCTTGTCCGTTCCTCCCTCCCCCCTGCGCTCCCGCCCTCACTTTTTTGCTGGGGTGATCACTGTCAATCGGCGTCACCACCCCTACATACTTATACTATATGTGCGTCGCCCCCCCAGAGGCGACGCGCGCACCGAGAAACCTTATAGTACATGCGTCGTGGCGGGCGCCTTCTGGCTACACCGCTCGGGAAACGATGTACTGCAAGATGGGTATACTTTATGTTCGGGTCGGACGCGAGCCTCCACGGATGACATCTAGTATTATCAGGAGGGGGAAAACACACACAGACACAATTCATCGTCGATTCCCAGGAAAATCTGGGAAACTAGGGGAAGTGGGGTGGAAGACAAAGCCCCAGAAAGCATGGGAACATATGGGGAATGGTGTTATTGGTGTGCATTTATTTTGTGTGTCTTGGGGCCCCTTAAGATTAGTATGCCTCTCTTCGTCCCTCCTCCTCCTCCTCCTCCTCCTCCCACTTCGGGCTCCGCAGGGGCTCCTCGGCTCTCGGGCCGGCCCTCGAGACCCAGGTCGGGGGGGACCTGCTCGTGGCCGAGGCTCGCCACAGCCAGCAGAGCCCTCTCGCTCCTCCTCCTCCCTCCTCCCTCCTCCTCCTCCTCCTCCTCCTCCTCCTCCTCCTCCTCCTCCTCCTCCTCCTCCTCCTCCTCCTCCCTCCTCCTCCTCCTCCTCCTCCTCCTCCTCCTCCCTCCTCCTCTCCTCCTCCTCCTCCTCCTCCCCTCCTCCTCCTCCTCCTCCCCTCCTCCCCCTCCTCCTCCCCCCCTCCTCCTCCTCCTCCTCCTCCTCCTCCTCCTCCTCCTCCCTCCTCCTCCTCCTCCTCCTCCTCCTCCTCCTCCTCCTCCTCCTCCTCCTCCTCCTCCCTCCTCCTCCCCCCCTCCTCCTCCCCCCCTCCTCCTCCTCCTCCTCCTCCCCCTCCTCCTCCTCCTCTCCTCCTCCTCCTCCTCCTCCTCCTCCTCCTCCTCCTCTCCTCCTCCTCCTCCTCCTCCTCCTCCGACGGCACGAGGACTGTACCGGTAGGTTTGCGTCTGTGTCGACCCGCGGCGGGTGCTTGCCAACGGGTACTTTGCCATTCTGCCAACAGAGCCCTCTCGCTCCTCCTCCTCCTCCTCCTCCTCCTCCTCCTCCTCCTCCTCCTCCTCCTCCTCCTCCTCCTCCTCCCTCCTCCCCTCCTCCTCCTCCTCCTCCCCCTCCTCCTCCCCCTCCTCCCCCTCCTCCTCCTCCTCCTCCTCCTCCTCCTCCTCCTCCTCCTCCTCCTCCTCCTCCTCCTCCTCCTCCTCCTCCTCCTCCTCCTCCTCCTCCTCCTCCTCCTCCTCCTCCTCCGCCCGTCCGTTCCCTTTTCCGCCCGCCCGTTCCTCGCCTCACTTCTGTCCTCTTTTTCCCCCAATGCATCGGCGGGCGAGACGTCGCCAAATTGCTGCAGCGACCAACCGATGTTCAAATTCTGACGGGGCGTGCGCTTGAAATGGATTAGTCCGTACGCGCTGCATCCCCATGGCGCCTATTGGTCTCCTCGCGTTCGTAGTTCTCACGTGCGTGTCTCGCTATTTCTACGATTGCCGCGCGCGTCCCTTGATTGTTTCGCCAGCCGGCCGTGCAGTTCACGCGCCGTCAGAAGTCCACGGCGCCCTTCGAACGATTCGCGCGCGACCTGCGCGCGCCGCGCGAACGACCCGAGCGACGCTCGCGCGACACACGCGCGACGCACGCGCGACGCGCGCGCGACGCGCCCCGACCCGCGCGCGACGCACCCCTGCCAGCGCGCGACGCACGAGCGACCCGCGCGACGCACGCGCGACGCACGCGCCACGCGCGCGAAGCAAGCGCGACGCACGCGAGACGCACGCGCGACGCACGCGCGACGCATGCGCGACGCAGTCGCGACTTTGCCCGCCCCTAGCATTTCTCCGAACAGCAATGCGCAACGGCCGTCGGCCCGCCGTGCTTGCGCTGTTCACAAGTGGCGGCGGCTGCGTCCTCCATTGCGCCAGGAAGGGCGGTGCTTGCCCTTGTTCCTCCCCTTTTCCTTCCTCGTCGCCCCTCCTCTTTCGTCATTCCTCCTCCTTCGTCCTCCTTCCTGCCTCGTCCCCCTCTCTCCTCCCCTTCTCCTCCTCCTTTCTACAGGCCTCCCTCTGTCTGTCCCTCCCCCCTCCTCCCTCGTCTTTTTTTTTTTCTCCCCTTGCCGCCCCGCGTCCCTCTTCATTTTTTTCCCCCTTCGGCCCCCCTTCCACGGCCGCGGCGCGTCGCCGCGAGCGGCGCCCCCGCCTTCCGCGAACGGCCCCGCCGCTGGCGGTGGAAGAGGACAGCGACGAGGAGAAAAGGAGAGGGGGGCAGGGGCGCGAGGCGGGCGCGGCGGCAAGGGCGGCCCGGCAGGGAAACGGGGGGGAGAGGGGGGAGGGCGGAGTGGGCGGGCGCTGGCGGTGGTGGTGGTAGTTTTGGCGCTGGCGGCGGTCGCGGCGGCTGTGGCGGCGGCTGCGGGGACCTGCTGGCCTAGCGCCGGGGTGCGTTCAGCAGCATCGCTGCGTTTGTAATGTTTGAGGGACTTGCTGATCTGCCGAGGTAGCCCAGCGGCCGCCTTCTTCTCGCCGAGAGGGCCGCAGCGCGGGCGACTTTCTTTTTCCCGACGGCGACTGGCCTTTTCAGCGGCCGTGGAGCGGGCGACGCGCGTGCGATCCGCCCCGCGGGTGTCCGCCGCGCTGGCGACGCACTCACCAAATTGCCCCCTTGCGAGGGCGACGTGCACGTTCGAGAGGACGGCTGGCCTTTTTCGGCGGCCGACGCACGGGCGGCGCACGGGCCACGCATGCGCGACGCAACTCTTGTCGCGATGGGGGGGGGGTCAGCACGCCGGTCGTCTTACTGGGCCTTAACACTGGGAGGTCTGGACCAAGCGGTTCCCGTTTCCCGCTCCGAGCAGCGCGTCGACTCACGCATCGACCAGCTCACCGCCCCCGCCCCTGGGAGGCCTCGACCAAGCGCTCCCCGACTCCCGTCCCGAGCAGCACGTCGACTCCCGCATCGACCAGCTCATCGACCCCCGAATCACGGGGTGTGACAGGGAGGAGCTTTTTGCATGGACAAGGAATACCACGCGCAGCAGTACCACGCGCAGCAGTACCAGTGTCACCAGCAGCGTCACTGTGACCACCACAGCTGGGACCAGCGCCACGCATAGCAACTGCGCTACTAGCAATTCCACTGTGGCCAGGACGGCCCGGAGTCGCAGCACCAGCACAACCAGCAGCACCCTTCACACCAGCATTAGTGGATCTAGCAGCAAAACCGCACCTTCGATCCCGTCGGCGACAGCCACACCCATTTCCTTGGCGGACATCGTGCTTAGATGCGTGCACCGCCTGGCTTTCTGGCTACCATCACCCCTTCTGCAGTCGCACGCCCCCGCGCCCGCGCCTACACCAGCACCGACGCCATCACCGACGCCAGCACCACCGTCAGCGCCTACGCCTGACCCAACGCCAGCGTCCGCACCGGCACCGACGCCCGCATCGACGCCCCCATCGACACCAACATCAGCGTCGCGTCCTTGCCAGCGCCGACGGCAGCACCGACGCCAGCATCAACGCCTGCGCCAACGCCAGCATGCTGAACTGTGATCCACGAATGCTCTGGCATTTCCGCACGCAGCACCCTCTATCCCACTTCGAGGAATAAACGGCTGTAAAAACGGAGCTAACCTACTCATGCTTTAGTTCATTTAGCGCATCGCATGGGATTGATGTGTACCGCATGCCCCAACACCGTCGCCAACGCTGGGACCAGTGCCAGCGCCTACGTAAGCACCGACGCCAACGCCGGCACCAACGCAACCGTCGACGCCTGCAACAGCGCCGATACCAGCACTACGGTTGCAGCAGCCACGCCAGCGCCTACACCTCACCAGCGCCAGCGCCGACACCAGCACCGACGTCAGCTCTGAGGCAAGCACGAACGCCAGCGCCTGCCCTGGCACCAACGCCAGCGCCTACACCCGCACCAATGCCAGCACCGCCGCCAGCACGAACGCCGACGCGTGCGCCTGCGCCGACGTCCACACCGACACCAGCATCAACTTCGGCGCCTCACCTAAATCTGCGCCGGCGCCAGCGCCGATGTGCCAACGCTGGCGCCTCCTTTGGCAACAACGTCAGCGCCTACAGCAGCTCCCACACCTGCACCAACGCCAGCTCTAACGCCGGCGTTCCCGCCAGCGCCGACACCAGCGCCGTCGCCAGCATCAACGCCTGCGCCTACGCCGGCATCAACGCCAGCTCCGACACGCTAGCTTTTACGCCTGCGCCGAAGCCGGCGCCAGCGCCATCGTCTACACCAGCGCCGTCGCCAGCTCTGCCGCTGGCGCCAACACTTGCACCTGCTACAGCACAATCGCGGATTCCATGAGCTGCACGACGAGTACCACGTGCAACGCGACGAGGCCCGCGAGCTGCGCGGCAGAGACCACGAGCAGCACTGGAATATATCGACAGGCTGGCACCCCCCAAATAGGGCGACGCGCCGGCGTCCACCCCTGGGGTGCGAGAAAACTCGCGCACAGTTTCGACTCCGGCCGAGTCCAGGGCAGACGCCCTCCCACAATCCATCGGTCATTCGGCCAGGACAGCTACAGGCCTGCCAGCCTCAACTGACAGAGAGGATTCCGTGAGCTGCACGACGAGTGCCGCGAGCAGCACGACGGAGACCGCGCCCACGTCGACCGATACGAGCTACAGCGCGACGGGCACCACGAGTTGCACGACAGATGCCATCCGCAGCACGACAGGTGCCAGGAGCAGCACGACGGATACCACGAGCTGCACGACGAGTACCACGCGCAGCACGACGGATCCACCTCCACCTATCGACCTCCCGCGTCCACAAACTCGGCACTTTCACCCCCAGGAGCTAGCACCCAACTCCAATTACACCTCCACCGGGTGACCTCCAACCTCCACCAGTTCCGCACTCTGACCTC